ATAAGAAGAAAAATCAAGAGTTATTAAAAAAAAAAAAAAAAAAAAGAGCGCTGAGGTAAAATATTTCATTTTGGTCCCACCATTTTAGACATTTGAAAACCATCTCTGATGTTTACTGTGATAAAGGGATTCTAACCCCCATATCAGAAGATTTTGGGTTGAAATGTATGCTGTTGGAAACAAGATATTTCAACAATTTCAATACATAAATTTCTGAGCAGTAAACAGTTTGAACCAGTATTTCCAGGTATACCAAAATCAGTTTCTTCTAAGACCTTTGACACTACAGAAATTTCAGATACTTCTAGCTGTTTCAGATACTTCTAGCTGGAAATTGAGATCTCAGCCTTATGCTTTAGAAGCAGCAACTTGTTTTGCTTCACTGGAAAACTAGGATTATTTTTTCTGTATCAGTAATCCTTTATCTCCTCTTTTTCTTCAAGGCTAAGTTCAAAATTAAATTAGAACAGAAATATCATCGCTGTTGCGTATAACTACATTGCCTCCCTCCTCGTGACTCCATCATTCAATTAATTCTGGTTTGTTCTTCCCTCTCCTAGGGTTTCCCTAATTCTGGTTTGTTCTTTCCTCTCCTGGTGTTTCCCAATCCCATTTTCTTTCTCTCCTCTGTCCTCCCCTGCCTCCAGAGGAAGGCTCGATCAGAGATGGCCTCCAGAAGGAAGTTTGTGGTTTGAAACCTCGTGTTAAATGTTGTTCATTGATTAGAGTGATGGGGCAAGGGATGCTTGTTCTTCTGATGTACTCATCAGAAGTGGCTTTAAGACTTTATGGAAAAGACTGTAGGTGTATGTAATTAAAGTGGTCTTTGAAGAAACCAGAGTTTAAGTGTTTCAAAAAGTAAGATGCATCCTCCAGCAGTGGTTGAAACCTAGCCCTTCCCCTTCTCTTGCTCCTGAATTATTTATCCATATTCTCTCTCTCTCAGTAATGAAATATTCATCGGTTCCGAGTGATACACATCAACTGAGCATTACCTCAGGGTATGCTCCAGCTTTTGATGGTTTGACCATCTGCTAAGCAGGTGATAAATCGGGATTCAACTTCTCTTTGGAGGAGGAGGGTGTGGGAGCTGCCCTTCTTCCTGCTCATCTCCATGTTCTCTAAAGGGAAGGGAGAGAGAAGGGAAGGCGCCTCAGCTGTCTTCTCATTTCTCTCTTCTCACTACCATTTTGCCATCCTTTTCCAATGCACCAGGAGAGAGCTTTGGATGTGGATCCTGCAGGTGAGCTGAGAGATGGGCCAGTGTCCTGGCGGTACCAGAGAGTGCAGTTTTTAACCTGCTGTTACATCACATCCCATGTGATGGTGAAGCTGCAGGTGAATGAGCCTTGTCTTTGGCTGATGCTCGACCTGAAGGCACTCTCCAGGGGTGCTCATCGCCATGCAGCTGCCAGTCAGTGCTCAGGCTGATGGACCACGGTGGGTTTACTTGGCTGAAGTAAACCCCCCCAAAATGCAGAGTGTGGGTATCATTTCCATCTTTGTCATGCTACAGGTCTGTTCCCTCTCTGCACAGCATTACCTACCGATATAGCTGTAGCCTTAAGCACCTTGGGGGCATTACCTTGGAACTGTTTTTCCCTTGAAAACCTTGGAGTGAGGTTTTTCAGGTGACTGCAGAAGCTTTGGAGCAAGGTTTATACTTCACAGCTTCTTTGTGCTGGCAGCCTCAGCTCCTCTCCCCCTCCGGCATATTCTAAGAGTGCATTGTGCTGAGTTTCTGAATTGCTGTGAAGGGCTCCGCACACGCTTCTCCGATCATGTGCCCTGAGTACATGTGTGTGTGTTGCGCCAAAGCAGATGCAGCCAGCTGTGCCCACGTGCCAAATTAGCCAGGTTTCTCAACGCCCTTTAGTTATATAAACATTCTCCCACAGATAGTCCTCATGCCCTCTGCAGGTTTCAGAAATCTCTCTCATCTTTTCAGTCCTACCAAGTACCACACCAACTTTTCTCACTCCTTTGCTCTTCTACTGCCTGCTCCAGAGGTGGTTCTTCTCCCACCCCGTCTCTTCAGAGGACCGGACTCTCAGTCTGACCCAACCACACACCTTCAGAGGATTTGTGATGCAGATGCAGATGACTTTACATAGGGCCTCCAAGTAAATAGCGTGCCTTGTGCAGGAGAAAAAGGAGAAAAGCCGCAATAAATAGACTTGGTGATTTTCCACACCCACCTTTGCAACATTACTTCAGCACACAAGCGCCCTCTCACACAAAGCCCCAGTGTGCCAGCCCTATAAATCTGATACACAGATCATGAATTGCCAGCAGAGCTTTCGTCACTAGTAGATGAATCTTCCTCACCCACGTATCATCTCAGATGCAATTACAGCCATGATCACAGCGTCTTGAAATCCTTGTTCGTCACGTATTTGGAATTGCTGGGATAAAGGTTATTGTTCAGAAGTCAGCTGATATTAGCAATGTGATCTCAGCAGATCACACGTTCCCTGGTTGCTTTTGGCAAGCCTACACCTCGAGGCGTGTCACTGGAGTACATCATTCATATCCTAAGTGGCAAATGTCAGGTGTAGGAAACCAGTGTAGCCGACACATCACTCAGTGTCTTCATTACTGCTGATATCCACACTGCTCCTTACTAAGCTGGTGGCTTGCACATTAGATGCTTGTGTTCTTTCACTGATAATATTCCTGGGCCAAACAGCACCAAGCTCATTCCTGAAAACACTGCTAATCAACCTTCACTCAGAACTGTGTGAGCTTGTCGTTGCCAGTGCTTTCTTAATACTCTTCTTTTTTCACCAAGAAACGGTGTGTGTACTGTGGTTCTGTGTCTGCATTGCTAGGCAACTGTGTGCTCATAGGCTCATTTAATTCCTCAGAAAAATAAGTAGAAAATCAAGTAATGGCATACATTCTCTTATGATAGAAAAAAAAAAAAATACCAGCAATTGATAGCTTGTGACTTTTAACATAAGACAAATGTATATTCACAAAACGATGCAGACAAAAGGATTCCTTGTTCAATAGAAGACAACAGTGCTACTAGCTCTTGAGGGGAGGCGGAGTTTCTATAAACTAATATAAAAGAAAAATTCCATGAGACTTCAATAATAAGGAAAAGTAGAGGGAGGTAGGGACGAAAGATGGTTTTGCCTGGGGTGAAGAGGGAGGGAAAAACAGCCTGTTAGGATTTACACAGGAGTCGCATGAACTGGACAGGTTCTGCATCCCTTCAGCTGCCTCCCTTCTGTCACTACCATGGCCACAGCCAGTCCTCAAAAGCAGAACTGCTATCTGTATAACTAGTATCTGCCCTTACAAACCTGTTAACATTTCAAAATTCAACATTTTTAAACATCATTTATCAAAAAGACCAAGAAAATGACTGAGAAGGTGTGCTGGTTTTAGTCAGGAAAGATTTAACTCTCTTCACAGTGGCTGGTATGAAGCTGTGTTTCTGGACTTACCCTGTGAAAAGTACTGATAAGGTGCCCTATTAGCCGTTGCTGGGGGGTGCTTGCACCGAATTCAAGGTCCTTTTTAGCTTCTGATACTGCAGCTGCATTCCCAACCTTCTCGCTACAGGCAGTGTGGGGGGACACGCAGCTCAGAGAGCTAA